AATATCAATATTGCAAAAATAAGCCTGCCCATGAGATGGCTAGAACTTTGGAAATAATTTTCAGGAGGAACCTGGGAGAGACTGGAGCTGTGGGATAAACTGGGCCCCACTTAATGGAGATGCTGCTGGGAGGCCAAACTCCCAGACTGCCTGGAGAAAGGTGGACCCACAAGGACAGCACTCATGAGGCTAATGTGGGAACAGAACCTTCTGGGAGACTGGACTATAGACCATGCCATGCCACATTTGTGCAAAGAACCCTGTGTCCATGAAGGTGAGTGAACTCAAAATTAATAAATTGATTTATATATTTTATATAGGATTTTATATAGGAATTTTGATGCAGCATAGGATGTAGGCTACAGCATTGCTCCTTCTTGTTGCTTTAAGCCAGACGGACACTGAGATTCAGCACCAAAGATCAGAACAGGATCTGAAAAGTGTGCGGTTTGGCAAGGCAAGGAGAATGAGCTAATGCGGGCAGAGCAAGCACAGATCAAGGGGCTTAACTGACAGAGATCCGCACCACTAAACTGAAGGCCGACAAGCGCCCAGAGGCCAGCGCAGCCATGGTCTGAGGGGACCGGCTACATCTCTGGATGGCAGCTGAAGCTGGCATGTTCTCTGTGTGGTGCTGGCTTTTCAGACATGCTGAATACAGTCACAGAATCACAGAGGTCAGGAAACCAAGCCACAATCCCAGACAGTGTGCAGCAGAAGTGAGATCCCTCTATCAGGGGTCAGCACACTTGTGAAGCTTCACACACGCAATCTAGGTTGCCATGTAGACCCAAGGATGCTACAGAAGTAAAATATTTGCCAGGGAAAGCTGCAGATGCTGTGTGGAGCTAGGCCAAAAGAGCTGAGTGAGCTTGCTGAATGAAGCAAGCGCCCTACAGAAGCAGGCCTACTCAGGCCCACTAGGGATCGCAGTGTGATAACATGAACCACAGACACCCGGCCTGGGCTACAAGATTTGATATTGGTCCTGCTACCTCCAATTCTACCCTTTGAGAATGGCATCAGGTTAGTACTTTAGACTGGAAGATTATTTTGCACACCTTAAACATTGCCTTGAGACTCAGAAATGACTTTGAACTTTGGAGATTTGAAGGAATCGGAGTTGTTAATATGAAGACTCTCAAATTGGGACTTGTTGAACTTCCCACTGTTAGACAACCAGGAGCCTTTAGCTACAAGGGACAGAAGATTATGATTTGAATCTGAAAGGTGCCCTCTAGCAGCTCCTATTTTGAATGTTCAATTCCCAGCTTCCAGTGCCGTTTTAAAGGTCAAGAACCTTTGAGTGGTGACACCTTTAGGACCCGCAGAAGTAGCCACTAGAGCCTTTGAGGGTTCTTGTCTCTTCTGGTGCAGACCAGTACTCTGCTCCTGCTGAGCCATGCACCAACACAATGGAGCCACCATGCCCTGCCCACCACAATCAACGTAAATCCCTCTGAACCCTAAAGCCCAAAGCAGGTTAAGGTCTCTGCTTGCACACACTGTGAAGGAACACACCCTGTCATGTTCTCGCCACCACGTCTGCCTGCCTCCCCAGAACAAACCTGCCACAGCACCACAAAAACAATAGCCAGCACAAGTGTTGCTACAAACGTCCTTGTTTCTCTTCACACACTGGCTTCCAGGCACCCTCTGCTCTGTGCCTGGACAGATTCCATGCCTTTCACCATCATGCTGTTATCTCTTAGACACGTCTGAGTGCTTGAAGCTCTGTGTCCTCCAGGTTTCAGAGGATGAAGGAAAGTTACTGCTGCCTCTTGATAAGGAATACCAGAAATAGAAATAGGACAGAGTGGGCTGACCTTCAACCTTGGACACAAAACCCAAACATCTATTTGTTACATGATTTCAAGATGTTTAGCGTCTGTGTCAAACTCACATTTCAGTATGGTTAGCATCTGTGCCTGGGACTGCTCAGCATCAGAACACTCTGTCAACACGAGGGAGAGCCTGGATTGGACCCTCAGCAGCCCATCATGGCTTTGTTGCCTCTCACCCTGCGTGTCTCAGCTTTGGCCCCAGAGTCACTGTCCCTCTGGCTGGACCACACACCTTCTCAGAAGGAATTGGGGGTCCACGTGCAGCTTGTCAATCATCAAGACAAGAGTTACACATTTTGCGATTTCTCCGTAAATCTTGCCCTGTCCTAAGTGCCAGATGTCTGTGACTTCCCCTGTATGCACAAACACGCACACAACGTACACGCATGTGCACACACATACACTCACACTGTATAATTAATTATAAGGAGCATATGAAGACACAGCAGCACCTGGGATGAGGTAAGATGAAACCCCAAAGGTGCCACCAGGCAATAAGGATTTCATACTCTTCATGAACACATTGACTTCTGCAGGTCTCCGCTCCAATCCCTGATGGCAGCCTTCTGACACTGACCAAGGGAATTCCTTGCTTGATGCTACATTGTTTTAGAAATGCTTTGTTTATTTTTGCCGTGACATTTGGAAAAGGGTCTGGAAGCGCTTTTAATGTCATGGCTCCTGCTTGGGAAGAAATAAACTACTTCTCTTTAATTTCCAAGAGTCCCACTGAACATATTGTGCAATAACTTATTGGAAATGAGAAGCTAATGCAGAGGGGCGTTCTTTCCCACCCTCCCAACTGTGCTGTTCACACGGAGGGTGTCCGCTCCTCCATTGGTGATCTGGGCCCCAATACACACTCCCTCCCTAGAGAGAGTTCGCGGGAAGACTTGGGGGATTCCTCTTATCTGGGGAAAACACTGCAGAGGGTCATTTTGGAGTGAGCTCAGGCATTGCAGGCCTGTCCACCTTTCATGTCCTGGTCCCACACTACAGGGTGGCCAATATGGGCGGTCCTTAGTCACGAGACCCTTTGCCTGCATGGCTTTTTCTCGTCCATCTCCCATCTGTTGTTTTCCTGTTACTGTTACTTGGTGCCAAAATCCTGGTTGTTTTTCTCTTTATTAAATTAAATGCCAAGCAACCTTTGACCTCCACGCTGGATTCCTTGCCACATCTGACCCATTATAAGGTGATCTATTAGACTCACCTGAGGTGAGTCTTCCGTGAAGATGGAGATATCTGTTTGGAACCCGGAGGTTGCTTCACCTCTCTCCATTCTTTCCCTCATTAATCCCTCCCTTCCCCCACCCCTTTCTTACCCAAGGTGCTTAAAGAGAACACTCACCCTTAGATGGCTTACTTTTCTGATACCTGAATTCTTGACTGAAAAAACAGGAGAGGAAGAAAGGACACATTTGGGCCCATGTCTGAAAGAGTACCGTTCATCACAGAGGTATGGACGAATTCATGGAAGCTAGAGTGTGTAGCTACAGAGCCTCAATTCTGAGCAAAGAAGAGGTTCAGGCCAGAATCGGCATAGGACCAACCCCAGTGACCTACTTCCTGCCATGCAACTCCACTGTGAGGGTCTCACAAATCCCCCAAATTGCATGACCAGCTGAGAACCAAGTGTTTGGCACAGGAAGCTGGGTGGGAATAGCTTACATCCAAACCATAAAACCTCTTCACATTTTGCTTTCAGATGTTTCGCTAACGTAAAACCAGACAGTTCACTCTTCTTCACCTCCTGGTTAGTTGTTCAAAAACGAAATTAAATAGGTGTGGAGAAAGTGGGCACACTTTTCTTTGCTCTGATTTTTGTGGAAATGTTTTAGTTGGTTTTGTTTTATGTTTTCTTCCCATTTAACCCGATGTTACCTGTAGGTTTGTTATATACTGCCTTTATTATGATGTTATCTGTAGGTTTCTTATATACTGCCTTTATTATGTTGTTACCTGTAGGTTTGTTATATACTGCCTTTATTATGATGTTACCTGTAGGTTTGTTATATACTGCCTTTATTATGTTGTTACCTGTCAGTTTGTTATATACTGCCTTTATTATGTTGTTACCTGTAGGTTTGTTATATACTGCCTTTATTATGTTGTTACCTGTCGGTTGGTTATATACTGCCTTTATTATGTTGTTACCTGTAGGTTTCTTATATACTGCCTTTATTATGTTGTTACCTGTAGGTTTGTTATATACTGCCTTTATTATGTTGTTACCTGTCGGTTGGTTATATACTGCCTTTATTATGTTGAAACCTGAAATGCAAGCTGATGAGGAAAATTGGTGGAAACACCTAAAGGCAAGCACCTGACATGAGTCCAGTGTCTGGGGAAAGAACACATCAGTTGAAAACTCAGACTTTATGAAATTAAAAGACTTCTTTGTGGTAATGAAAGCAACATTTCTAGCTAATAAACAGTCTACAGAATAGGAAAAATTTTGCAAGCTATATACCCGACAGAGGTTTGTTCTGTAGAATATATAGGAACTCAGGTATCTAGATCCCTCATAGTTAAAGACTCCAGAGTCAGGATACAATATAAGAATTCAAACAAGACCGATGGATACATGCTAATAAACCAAACAATCAAATGAATAAATGTGCTAATGAAATGACCAGGAGGGTCTCAGTGATGAAGCAGTCACAGCCAACAAACATATGAAACAATATTCAACATCACTGGCCACCAGAGAATTCAAATAAAATTCACAATGAGACCCCATTTTACCCTGGTCAAAAAAGCCGGGTAACAAGTGCTGGTGGGGATGTGGAAAAATGGAAACTCAGCACTGGGGATGGAAACTATGGAAATCAGCGTGAGGATCACTTTAGAGAAAGCTAAAAATGGGTCCTCTTCTGAACGGCCTGGGAGTTTCCCTAAAACACCCCTATTCAAACCCTGCATTTTTGTTGAAGTTTATTCTCTAAAAATAGTGATAATATGTAGACATAAGAAGATCCCCTAGAGAGGCGTGAAATGTCCAGACTTGATCATTACTGCCCTGATATGCTATTTACAGCGAGGCCAGGAGTGAGTCTCACCTCATTTTTCAAGGTTACAGTTGAACAGAGACATCTCAAGGGTGGGAGTCGGCAGACAAATCACGCAGGCGATGGGGCAGAAGGCACAGTGGTTTTATTTGGCAATCAACCTAAGCAGCAACGCCATGGAAATCGCTAGCCATTCCTCTGAATCAATGCCCTTCCCACCGACCACTTCTGCTTTCTAATTACTGTTTTATAAAACAAAATAAACTTCCAAGTTCATCTCACTTGAACTCCCAAAACAAAAGATACAGAAAACGGAGAGTTAAGCAACATTAGATTTGTGATACAGATTCGAATTGTTTCCTGTGTTGTGTCAAGGTCATCTTTACACTATTTTAAGGTCGATGGGGAAATAGATGTCTCTTCTTCCATTTCCTCTTTAGTGAAGCGAAGCATCCAGTGGGAGCAACTAATGACACACAAGACCTAACACACAGGAAGCAGACGCCACGAGAGACGCATGTGCAGCTCTGTGAAGTGCAATTCTCTGTGAGGAACCCCCCTGAGGCACAGTTATCATGGGAGCATGTATGTGCCTTGTATGAAGCCCGATGCTATGAACTCTGCTTAAACCTCAATGATTACAGAGCAAACAAGGCAGATCTTCCTGCAGGGCTGCATCGCAAGAACTGCAGCAGCAGTAGCAGCAGCAGTGGCAGCATGCAATGAGACTGGACACGGGCACAGTGCATTCATTCCTCTGCTACAGATGCGGCCTCGACGTGAGGGTTTGGTGGGCGTGACTGCAGTTTCGCATTAGGTGTCCTCGACGTGGGGTTTGCTGAGAGTGAGCACAGGTTTGCATTATGGGTTCTGTGTGCTCATCAGATGGTGTCTGCGATAACGTTTTACAAAGCAACTGAGGGTTATTACAAAATACACATGTGATCCAAAATGAGAGGATGCCTTTCTCCCGTGAAAAAGACGTCAATAAGGTTTGAGAAACAATAGCACACTTGACCTAAACCAGGAAAACCTCAATAGTCAGCGCTTTTCTATCCAATTATTTGAAGTTTTTTTTTCAATTATTTGAAGTTTAAACATTTTAAATTAAGTTTATTTTAAAATGTCCAAAGTTGAACCTCTAAGCATTTTTGTCTATGACTAGTTCAAGACACCTAGATTTAAAAAACAAACAAACAAGCAAAAATTTCCCTAGTATTAACTAGAAAAAAGAAGAGTCTATTTAATGTGAAAAGAAAGATAAATCCTGAGACTTTGCAGGAATGTTTCAGTGACTACAGATACGAATGAACCCTCTTCTCACTGCGGAGTCCGAAAGTCCTCTTCTGAGGAAATCTTCCTGCTTTCTGAACTGTGTGTTTCCCAAGATGAGGAGCAAGGGCGTTTGCCGTGTTGACACAGACTGCAGAGCGCAGCCTTTCGGGTCCTCTTTACGACTACCGGACTACGGACTACATTTCTCGTAACCCACATGATAAGTTTTGGTCGTGGTTGTCCGTTAAATCTCCTGTTTTGGACCAGTTTCAGTGAATCACGCAAACTAAACTGCTCCCAAGGAAAGTTTGGGCGGTGACTTCCCCGTCTTTTGATATTTCCAGCTGTTCATTTTTCTCGTGGAGGTCCAGGAGAAAGGAGGGAAGGGGTCGCAGTCCAGGAAGTGGGGGTCACAGCAATTTTAGGGCCCCAAAGAAGGTGCCATCTCCGTCTCTGGAGATCTGCGCGTTCTCTCGAGGTATCGCGAGCTGAATCTCGTCTCCTTCTTCCAATCTCGCTATGCCTAGGAGAGAGGGAGTTGACAAGAGTTCTCAGTGGTCGACACTTAACCGGGCACATTACAGGAAGCTATCTAAAGTCAACGTGAGCATTCATGCTTCCCCCAAAATGGACCTCTCATATGGATTATGGATTGCTCATAATTCTGTTAGCTTTCAAATTAAGTAAAATGAGGAAATTAAGAGAAGAAACAACAGATTCCAGCAGATGTGTGTCCACTTTGTGCAGACAGTAATTCCAATGGCAAACGTCAAGGTCACGCAGGTCAAAGTTTGTTCTTTGAGAGACAATCAAATCACCATGGGTGGTGGTGGCTTAATTTCGCTACTAAAGGAAACTTTTAATAATATTAAAAATATGAAATTATGCATATGTACGTGTGTGATATAAATAGATAGATAAATAGATGATAGATAGACAGACAGTCCTAACTACACCCTTTTGTAGCTTGAAAGAAACCTAGCATTATGGGAGCCCCTTTTTATTAATTTTATTAGCTATTATCAGGTGAGAATGTGTGATATGTATGGACACAGGTCACAGCACGCATGTGAAGGTCAGAGGACAATTTTGTGGAGTTGTTTTTTCCCTTTCCACCTTTCCACAGATTCTGGGATCAAACTCAGATGGCCATGCTTGCATGGCAAGGGACTGAGCCATCTCACTCCTGATCATAAGTTTAAACCTGCTAGAAAGTAAAACCCTTATTTAATTTCAATCTATACTATTTAATAGTTTTTCTCTGAACCCAGGTTTATGGTGTGACAGTTCCTTCCCACTGTCTATACTTTGAATTTCCTTAAATGACCATGGTTATCTTTATGATCAAAAGAAAGTAATAAACTCCTTGATGATAGAGATGCCTGTTTGTGCCTAGTTTATAACAATGTATTCTGTGACTTGGAAGTGTGAAATCCTGCACAGGAACCTCAATCTGTCTATCAGGTAACCAACACCAACCAACAGTGTTCCACAGATATGCTGTACATGGTACCTGTGTGTTTTGTCAGGTAACCAACACAGACCAACAGGGCTCCACAGACATGCTGCACACGGTGCCTGTGTGTTTTGTCAGGTAACCAACACCAACAAGGCTCCACAGACATGCTGTACATGCTTATGTTTCAAAACTGGCAAAGCATGAACAGATTAGTTACTTTATGAGTGTACAAGGTGTGAAAAGAGATCAGAGCATGTGTGTGGCGCAGATCTGTGGCTGCCCTGGATACTGGGCATGATGTACTACTGTGGCCAGGGCTACGGCAAACACTGCAAGCTCTAGAAATGGGTGTACATGGGCTATAGGTTCCTATCCCAAATCTCAACCCTGAGTTATCCACTACCTTAGTTCTTCTGGGCTGTAAAATCAGCTGTGGCATTCTTCCCTACGAGAAGCCTATTCAACTTATCAACATATCAATTACTCATCCTCGTATATACAAGGTTCCTCCATGCCATGCTGGGTTTCTCAAGCTCACCACCTGAGGTTGGGCAGGTTCATGTGGGGTCATATGACAAACTCAGCATTAAAGTAACAAGCCTGAAACTTCTTGGAGTTGGTTCTCATGCACAGCGCTGACCTGCTGATGCTGATATGTATCTTCAAGATCAAAAGAGTTACCCTTTAAAAAGTAAGGGGCCTGGGGAGTTCATCGGAATCCACCCACGGGAAGGAGCTGTGAGGAAATTAAACAATTTGGAATGTTTCGGGAGTGTTAACCGAGACATTTTATAGCAAGTAGGAACAACAGAGTGAAGAGGCATTTTTATTCATAAGTATTTTTGTAATATCAAAATGCTGGTCAGCAGTGGGCACAGACGCCTATGAAAATGAGGGACTTCCAACACGACAGACTTCCTCCTGACCACTGACATCACTGGAGGCTGTAGATCTGGTATGGCACAACCTCTGGGACGGAGCTGTGTTCTCTTCTGCTTCCAGCTGATTTATTGGACGTTTGTTTGTAAAGGCCTTTGAAATACTTTACAGGCATTTCACAATCCTGGGTTTCACGTGGCTGTTTGCTTGTAACCGTCCGAGACTAAAGACATTCTTTGGGTTCTGAATAGATTTGTCAAGACGAGTAGAGAGAAATACATGTGCATAAGAGGAAAACAGTTTTCTAAAACCAGCGTCAATGAATTTGAAATGAAATGAAGAAAATGCTGGCAATTCCAGTGTGGATAGGCTGGAACTGATAGTCTACCTTCCTACCTGCCCCCGTGTTTCCCTGAGCTCAAGGCAAGGCTGCTGCTGCGATTTTGTCTTCACAACTAGCCATGCACCCAAGGCCACCTGTTTAACCATGAGAACGAAGCCAGCCATTCTGCAATGCGCCCTTCCTTGCACTCAGGACTGACCAGAGTCATTATTTCCTCCACATGCTACACTGTGGGGCCAGACCTTGCTGTAGCTGGAGGCTGGGGCACTTAGGAGCAGCTGTGCTACTCCTGCGGATCGGATTTTCCCTGATGAGAAGGTTACAAGAGTTAGGAAGCCTGACTGACAGGTGGTGAAGCAGCCAGAGACCTGAGCAGGAAAAGGAAACCCAGAGGTGTCTCAGGTCTTTATCTCTGACAGTGTGTGGACATTGTTTCTGTTGCTGGTCTTATACACAATGGAAGAACAGCCATCTTAGAATCGTCCCTCTGCAGCTGTGGTGGCCTGCACAGGACCAGAATAAGACTGGAACCCTCAGCTTTGCTTCATGGACTAGGGAGGGGCTCATGAAGCTGATGGGGGGTTCCCCTCTGTATGCTGTGAATATGTTTTATTGCCATTGGTTAATAAAGAAGCTGCTTTTGGCCAATAGCTTAAAAGAGTGAAGTCAGGCAGAAAATCTGAATAGAGATGTAGAGAGAGAGGGAGTAGGTGGAGTCCAGGAGACGCCATGTAGCTGCCAACAGAGACAAACACCCTGGAACTTTACAGGTAAACCATGAGTCTTGTGGTAAAATAAAAAATAATAGGAATAGGTTAATTTAAGATATAAGAGTTAGTTAATAAGAAGCCTGAGCTAATAAGCCAAGCAGTGTTTTAATTAATATAGTTTCTGTGTGATTATTTCAGGTCTGGGCAGCAGGGGAACAACAAGCCTTTGCTGACATGAAGCCACACCTCTCCCTGAGAGACTATCTACAGCTTCTGGAGAAGGGGCGTCATTTTCTTCAGTGGTGTAACTACTACAAAGCTGCCCAGAATCCTGACCTCCCTCCCACACTCATGATGCAACTGTGATTAATTAATCTCAGTGGGCTAACCCAGAAGGAGACAGGAAAGCCAGAGAGGGCCTGTTTAGAAGAAGGGACACCGGAGGGGAAGGTGGCTAAGGAATTGCAACAGTGATAAAAAAGGACTAAAATCATTACAGACAGGCACAAATTCTCACACAAGAGAAGAAAAATAAGAATTGCTTGAATGTAAAACTCTGTGACATTCCTTCTTAATTCTTTAAAACACATTTATTTCATTTAATTACTTTTCATGTGTATTGGTATTTTTCCTGTGTGAATATATGTGTACTATCATGGACAATGCCCAAGGAGACCAGAAGAGGGTGTCAGGACCCCTAGGAATGGGAATTCCAGGCAGTTGTGAGCTGCCATATGGGTGCTGAGAATCGAGCCTGGGTCCTCTGGAAAAGTAGCAAATGCTCTTCTCTGCTGAGTTCTCTCTTCAGCCCTAATTCCTTCTTAATTTTTATAAAATGGTTTGACCATAGTGATATTTTCTCAGTTAACACAGACTATCGCAAAATAAACACCACAGTCTACAACAGAAGGTCTTTCCATTAAGATCACAAAGCACCACTATTTGGGAACCAGATACCCGTATCACCGTCTACCTTGTTCTGCTAAGCAAGTCTTAGGACAGCTACCTACCAGCTGAGTAGCAGGAATTGTTGGGTAGTGTTCTTGGCATATTCTGAATACATCGGAACAGGGTCACCAGGCTCAGCTCATCCCCAAAGACGTGCACTTTTTTCCTCTGGATGAGATGCCCCATGGCAAAGATGGTATCTGTGTATAGAACCTGAGAAACAAGCCAGGACATCATCAGATGTGCAAGCCTGTGAAAACGCCAGACCAGGGAGGCCGAGGGAAGGACTGGCCCTACCTGGCTGTAGATGAAGAAGTAACCCGTTTGCTTCACCACGATCTTGTTCTCTCTCTCCTCCAGTGCGCTTCCTCTTTTAAAGCTGAGAAGCCATGGAACAAATGTGTAAGATCCTGCAGTAGAGAGAGTTCCCTGTAAGAAAGCAAGCTCAGCCGCGCAGGGGTGGTGCACGCCTTTCACCCCAGCACTCTCTGTGAGTTCAAGGCCAGCCTGGTCTACAGACTGGATTCCAGGACAGACTCCAAAGCTACAGAGAAAACCTGCCTCAAAAAACCAAAAACAAAAAGAAAGCAAACCAAGAAAAGCAGTTTTCCCTTTTTCCTTGCACCAAATTTGAAACAGCACACCATCTATTCTTAAAAAATATAAATGGAAGAAGAAAAAGGACTCTTCTTCCTTGGGCTATCTGCCACTACATATTTTAGCATGGGCAACCTTGGATGCAGGTGCCTAACAGACCTCACTCCACAGGAATGTCTGGCCTTTCATTCCTTGTTTTGTATACTGGCTATTTCCTTATAAAGGCCAGTTTGGGTGGGGAGGCCAGGAGGAGAGAATGGACGGTCCTCTGCACAGCACACGGAGAGGAGCGTCCTCTTCCATCTTCCAAGCAGTAAAAAAAATGTAACAAAATGTGTCTGGAGGAAGTAACTCTACCTCTGACTTGGCAGAAGAACACAACTAGGAAAGGCAGACATCCACTGAGATGTACCCCATTCTCCACTGAGATGTACCCCAGTCTGGGAAGGTTCCCAGAGCCCAACAAACATGCTGGAGGGAGTTCTGTTCAGTCCAGGGACATTTCCTTAATCCTATCCAGAGTGACAGGAAGACCGTGTGCTCGCGGCTGTCCTGAAGGTAGACAGGAAAGTTAGACAGAGCAGTCAGCAAGCGAACCAAGCCACTGGGCCAGAATGGAGCAGGGTGCTTCCTGCTCCTCACACCCAGGGAGGGAGCAGCAGCACCATTTCCGAGGAAAAGCTTACTCATGCAGGAGTGTGCACAGCTGCAGCAGACAGAGGCATTAGGCTGGACCTCCACGCCAGATAAGGAGAAGAGATAGAAATTAAATGAAGGGAAGCAATGGGCAGAATCAGGGGGACGGCATAGTGAGGACAGAACAGCAAGCAATGCCGTGCTGTGAGCCTAAACATGCCAGAACATTCTTGCACAGTGGGAAATAATAGTGAGTCAGTCTCAAAACCTCACCCCTGTCAGCCAAAAAAAAAAAAAAAAACAAAAAACAAAAACAGTGGGGTGGGGGAGTCAAAGGCCAATCAAATGAGCCCCAAAGAAACACTGTATTCACGTTATATCCCTGTGTCTGTCTCCCAGGTTCGGCCACACTGTGACAAAGGACAGGGTACCCTTCTTTCCTACAGCCACATGGTATCCATTGCCTCACAGCCCACATCACCATCACCCATCCGTCTGCTGATGGACATCAAGTTGCTTTCTTGGCTGCTGTGATAGGAGCTGCCATGAACTTGGGAGAACAGGTGTCTCTTTAGCATATTGATTTAGTTTTCTTTATCTATAAACCCAGAAGTGGGATTGACTGCTAAATCATACTGTAGTCCTACTTTTAATTTTTTGGGGGCCTCCACATTTTTTTTTATACAATGGCTGTATGAATTTATATTCGCAATTAAAATAAGGCTCTTACCAGAAAAAAAGACTAAAAAGAATTACATATTTTCTGAAAATTCTAAAGAAGTTAAAAAAAACCCAAAACATCAGTACTAAAACAAGGCAGATGCCCTTGTGAATTCAGGTCATCGTGAATATGATTAACAAGCGCTAAGTCAGCTCCTCAAGCCAGCATCACTATAGACAGATGGGGTGGGGAAAAGATGCTGGGGCGGCTGGGGACGTGGGCAGGGAGGTCCTGGGTCCTCTTTGAATTCAGCCTGTCTGGGTGCACTCACTCACTGGAGTTTCTTCTGTTGCTCCCAAGAGCAGTGTGCCCCAGAGGACTGATCACCACACTTTCTTCTCAAGAGAGAATTTCAAGGATTTTCTTAAAGGGAAATCCCTCCATGCTAATGAAGATAACAGATTCAAGAAACAGAGGTCCTATCCATTGTAAATAGTAAAGGCAAGTGCAGTGATAGCTCATTTGTATTTTAATAAATAAAGCTTGCCTGAAGTTCATAGAGTAAAGCAACCACATTGATCAGCCTTACAGACCAGGCAGTGGTGGCACACACCTTCAATCCCAGTAACCACACTAGTCCTCCATAGAAACCAGGTGGTGGTGGTGCACGCCTTTAATCCCAGCCCTAGAGAGGCATACAAGATGGGAGGAGACGGCTCACACAGAGTCTCATTCTGAGATTCCTGGAAGCAGGATCACCATTTCTGACTGAGGTAGAGGTAAGAGCCAGTGGCTGACTGTTTTGCTTTTCTGCCCTTCAGGTTGAACTCCAATATCTGTCTCTGGGCTTTTATTAACCGTGCTACAGGCCAGTCCACTTTACTGTTCACGTGCAACATAATCCCAGAGAAAATTCTGTAATGAGTCAGTTTTCATTTTCTTAAAATGACATGATGTATCCAAAGTGTTCTTAAACACTCCATGCTGAGGAACCTAAGGAAGAATTAATATACAGATGGGCTTGGGGCGTACATCTCTCAGTCCCCAGACTGAGAGTTCAAGGACAGCCTGGTCTATTGTAGCATGTTCCAGGACAGTCAGGGTTACATAGAGAGACCCTGTCTCAAACAAACAAACAAACAAACAAACAAACAAACAAAAATTGTTGCTACAGAATACAAAAACTGATTATGTAGAAGTGGGTTACTTTCACGAATTACTTAAAATTCCAGGTTACAGCCCATCACTGTAGCAACGTCACAATGGCGTAAGCTTGAGACCGGTCACATCATGTACACAGCAAGAGAAGGGAACAATGAATGAATGCATGGTTTTTGCATCCTCAACGGAATGTTTAAATTTCTTCACTCTTATTCAGTTCAGGGAATGATGCTGCTTGCATGGAGCTGTGTCTTTCCACATCATGTAGACAATCCCTCACTGATACGCTCTTCCCAAGTACTTCTGGGTGTTTCTAGTTGACAATTAAAGCTAATCACCCCCCACCAGCTGACCTTTGGGCTCTGTGCCAGTAGGAGATGACAGTAGAGGTCAGATAATTAGGGTGAGGAGAATGCTCAAGCACAAAGCCCATTTGTAAAGGTCAGGGGGAACAGCTGCATTTTACTTCAGGTTTCTAGTGTTTATGACAAATAACTATGAAGACTAGGATGATGGAAAGCATTTGTCACATTGTCTGCAGAGACAGCAGGACAGACTTCATCAATGTGGTGTGTGTATAGATGTAGAGATAGATAGATGGATGGAGGGATGGATGGATGGATGGATGGATGGATAGATGGGTGGGTGGATGGGTGGATGGATGGATAGATGGGTGGGTGGATGGGTGGATGGATGGATGGATGGATAGATGGATGCATGGATGGATGATGGATGGGTGGGTAGATGGGTGGATAAATGAGTGTGTGGATGGGTGTATGGATGGGTGGCTGTGGATGGATGGGTGAGTAGATGGTTGGATAAATGGGTGGGAAGATGTATGTATGTATGTATATATGGATGGATGGGTAGATGGATGGATGGGTGGATGGATGAAAAGCAACTGAATAAACACTTATGCTGACAATGTCACAATAAACCACAGAAGAGCCTGCGGTGGGTGGGGCATGTCATTTTCAGAATCAACATATTATGATTTCCAAACTGTCTAATTTTCAAGAATATGTCAAAAGGCACACAAATATATAAGGAAATCATGAAGCAACCACAAGAGAGAAAAACCTTAACAAAAACCATCCCTGGAAAAGGCCAGACACGGAACTATTGGACATGTTTATGCAACCGAAGGAAACCGGGATGGTGACATATAAACAAACTTCTAAAGACTTCCTCAAATTCTTCTAAAAAAAAGACAGAATAGTCACTAACTCATGATGTGGAATCAACCTGGTACCGAAGCCAGAAACCACAGGAACTCCATACCACACACTAATCATGAGGGTAAGTCCAGCACTCCTGGGCATGATGCTAAGATCACGGGCAGGACTCTTATTACTGCTGCCCAGCACTGCTCTGGAATTCTAGATCAAACAGCTAGGAGACAAAGTGAACAGAAGAAAAGGCATCCAATTGGAAGAAGTAAAGTAGAACCATTTATATTCACACAAAACAGGGATCTAGGGAACTGATATCAAACCCACCAGAACTAACTAATGAATTTAACTTAGTTGCTCCACAGAGTCTCTTTCTCCAAGAGGGAAAAATGTGGACTTGAATAATACAATTCCATCTTTACAATCATGTGTTATCCACTGAGTTCATGTCTTCCCCAAACCCATATGCTATGTCCTACATCCCAGTGATGTTGGGAGGGAGGCAAAGCCTCCATGGGTTATTATACCACAAAGGTTCAATCCTCACCATTGATCCTGGTGTGAGTTACTCTTGACTCTCCTACCATCGTGCAAGGTCACAATTAAAGGGAAATGGAGGAGGAGTGAATCTGGGGAGGGGGGAAGTGGGGAGATGGGAGAATTGGAGGGAGGGGAAACTTCAGTTGGGATATATTGTATGAGAGAAGAATTAGAAAAAAGAAAATAAAGAAAAGACAGACACCACAGAGAACAATTGTATGTTTAACAGATCTCCTGGCAACTGGCTTTAGACTTTTCTAGCCCCCAGTGTTGTAAGAAAACAAACTGTTGTGTAAACAATCCAGTCTACGGTTATTTACTATATCTACCTGAACTAACACTGAATTCAAATAAATAAAATGCCTAAGAATAAATTCACTCAATATATTAACATGTGTGATAGAAGTTATAAAATATTGCTAACCACAGGAGACATAATAAATGAGGAGATGCCGCACGTCCATGGAGGATAACCCTTTAGTGTCACTAACATGGCATTATTAAGTGATGCTGTCCAGACAGTCAGCACAGCTTCTTGACCAACGCAGTGGCTCTTTCTCTAACTGGAAAAGTCCACCTGAAGTTCATTTATTATTGACAAAGATACTTGAGTGTTGTAGGGCAAGGGCTGCTTGTTCGTCCCAGCTGCCCAGAACCAAAATAAGCACACCGAAACTGCATTAATTAAAACACTGCTTGGCCCATTTGCTTTATTAATCTGCATATTGTCACATGGTAGTGGCTTACCAAGAAAGATTTGTCATGTCTTTCTTTGGCGGCTCCATGGTGTCTTTGTTTTTTACTCGGTCTTTTTTTCTTTAAGCACTTAGTTTTGTCTTCTCCACCTACCTAAGTTTAGCTCTATCAACTAGGCCAAAGCAGTTTCTTTATTAACCAATGAAAGCAACACAAACAGAAGGAACTCCTACACCACTTGAGTCTCTGCAACAGTCTTTAAAAGGACACGCCATGTCAAAGAGCTAACTCTCGAAACTTCAGAATTTAACAAGAAGCAACAGTAGGCAAAATACTGTCATGTTCTGTCACAAATGTAGGCTTATAACTCAACAGAATATTGAGTGCAGAAATAAAGCCACACTTCTAGTCCCAACTGGAGCTCTCCAAGGGTCCACGCCTGTGCAGCCCTCTCAACAAGTGATGCTAAAGTAACTGAATATCTAAATATTATGGGTGATGTTGTGCCACTGTCCAGAGCATAGGCAAGACTGACGAAAAGGATCCAGTGACTTCAGAGTAGAAACAAGTGACCTGAATGTGAACATGTACGGTCATGAGGAAGAAGCAAGGGAGTCAACCGTACTGCTGAGTTTGTTGACATATTCAGCAACAGTAATGTCCAAAGCATGAGAAACAAAAGAGAAACCAATAAAGAAATTGGATTTTATCGATTTAATATTTCTGACCAATGTAATAACCCAATGGCTATAATTCCAGCACTCAGGAGCTATCTCCAGCTTCATGACTAGGCACTGTCTCAATGAAATGAAAGAATAAAAAACAGATAATCCTCAAAGTAGGGAAAATATTTGCAAATCAAGCACTTTTTAAAGGGTTTGTCATCTACAATACAGTTTCTTATCTCAACAGGATAAAAAGAAAAACAATTTCAATTAAAAAGTGTAGAGATTCAAGAATTTTGAATAGATATTTTTTAAAAAGATAACCAAAAATTCGATAAGAATTTGGAGTGATGCCTAAGATCAGAACTCTTAAAGGAGATGTAAGTCAGTACTAAAATGAGGCCTTTCATAGGAAAGCAACAACAACAACACATAAATCACATTTTGGTTAGTCCCCTTCTACTCATTCATCCCTCATGTCTGTGTTTAAACCATATCCTGTGGTTATCAGGAAAAACCTGTAGAACGTGTTAAAATATGACTTTACATCAACCCAAAAGTAAATGTCAACAGGTAACTCTCCCCTCTTCGCCACCGCCTACCTGACCCTTGCATTGATGCATTTGAAAAATGCTTTGACTTGTGGCTTTCCTCTGCTCTGTAGCTATAGAAATGTCATAAAGCTTTCTATATCGGAGCATTTCTCAGGGCAACCTGAATCTGGGCTTCTGGTCCATCGTCACTCAAACATGGAATAAGAATAAATGTGAATTCCTTTTGAGCGGCTTTGGATGAGCAGATCATAGTCATAGCAGAAGGTGAGCAAATCGGATGAAAATCATCCATCTCTCTAGACTCTCCAGCACGGACGAGACTTCACCTAAGACCCCAGTGATACACTAAGCAATGAGATAAAAATATGTTATCTGTTTGGGAAAGACTCATTTGCCCCTTGCAAGGGGCAGTGGCTAGTGGGATGCCCTTTCCTCTCACGTGGGTCTGCCGGACTCCTCACTAAGATGCCAGTGCACGCCACACTTAGATACCCTTCTCGTGTATTTGTTTCTGTTCTCGGATGGCCTGTCAAGACCAGCCAATGCAGGCAAAAGGCCACGAAGTTCTGACAGTGGCCCAGGCCTGCATCCCTGTGTCTAGAGCATAAAGGCACAGAAAATACAATGTTTTATGTGGGTTTGGGTTATTCCCCCTTTGACAAATGTGAGCAGCAATTCTTTCCCAAGCACTGTTTTAACGGCTTCAGTTCTGAGGTTGTTCTGGCTTCAGTTCTACTCTTAGGGACTCAGTTGCTGATTTCTGAGCTCTGCAAACATGAAACAAAAAGCTATAAACAATGATAACTTTCAGATGATCTGGTATTTGTTTGGCATTTAACACCATTAAAATTATGTAGAAAAGTATAAATGCCAAACAGCACCAAGACTCACCACAAAGGTCAACCTGTATTCATTGGCCCTGGTTTGTTTCTCCATCCTGGTCACCAAGTGTGGTCTCAAACTCCAACTGTGGCCCAGGACTCAGAAATCCCCATGCCCTGCCTCCCAGCCACCCACTAACATTCCTTACCTATTGATTTATGGGGTTTCCCTCTTTTTTCTTTTCTCCCCATTAGTAGTCAAACGTCATCAAAATTAAACGCATGCGTGTTTTCTTCAATACAGACATTCTGGTATCCTCAGAGGTCCGGTCATTGTATGTTCTTAGTCAGTATATGCAGAATGAACAACTCGATCAGCAGATGAGTGGACGGCGTGGTACATGTAATGGAATTTTTCTTCAGCAGTAAGTTAAATGAAATCTTTACATTCACAGGAAAATGGATGGAACCAGAGGTCACTGCCTTAAGTAAAACACAGACCCAGAAAGGCAAAAGATGCATGATTCTGGCGTTCGTGTGTGGCATGTATATGCAGTCACGCGTGCATAGGTGTGTGTGCATGTGTTCACATGCATGTGTGTATGCATGTGTGTGTATGAGACTCCAAGTGAGGAGGAGGGCTATAGGAAGAGAGAGGAAGACAAGTAGAGACACAGGGGGCAAGAAAACTAAAGGGAGGAGGGAGATCAAGCAAGATGGGGGATAAGGCAGGAATAAAAGGGTGATGGCAAAGGACAATGACACACAGGACACACATGTGTCAAAGTCACTATGGAGGGAACTCATCTCTTCATGCCCTAATGAAAGGTTAACTGAAGATAAGACATGCAGACCAGATGGATCATTCCTTACTTGAACGTTTTTGCTCACCGATTATTTTGCATGCTCAAAAGCTGTGACATATCAATGTTCCCCAAATATTTTACTTTTCAGGCTGCTGCCGCATGCAAGAGTGACCTGGTCACATGACTCTGGGAAAAATGGAACTGAAAGATTTTGCTGGAGCAGCGATGTGATAAAGAGTCTGCAAAATACTGGAAGGAGCAGCAAGCTGCTTCCAAGGGGTTTATCGACAGAGCCCTTGTGTCAAGACTTTCCTCTGGGTCAAAATCGTGGGTGGAGCCATTTGGGAAATGGGGTGAAAAGTGGATTCTTGTGTCTGACCACTATTAGAGAAAATACTTTTTTTTTCTAAAATTAAAACTAGCAAAACTTCAAGGAAGCAAAAATCAAATTGAAAGCATGCCACTCTTAAGAGTAAATAATCCATCATCAAGTACTTGGTGGACATGGAAAATGGATAAAACTAGAGCTTTTAGGACATGGTAGCCTCGTCTCCATCTCCTAAGGAAATCCCCAGCCAAGGATCACAGACGGACACACGAAGACAGTCATGTGTCTCTGCACAAGACAACACTGCCCCGGACAATAAAAGCAAAACTCAATTTTCTCCACTCACTGTGTTATTACACTAGTCCGTGTGTTTATTCCCTAATCACTTTGAAAAGGCTCATGTTATAGGAAGCCTGGAGGGTGGCTGACGGCAGCTGCAGTTGAAACACTACGTTAGACTTGAACCTTACAAGCGTAAGCCACACTGGACTGAATCCTAAGCAGACACAGAGCAGGCCGGTCATTACCTTTTCGTATGGTCGGCGTGGCACTGTCTGCAATCAGTTGCAGACAGTCTTGAGTGACTGAAAAGCAAAAACACAAGGTTTTAGTCATTGGCAGAAACAGCAAGGCCACAAAGGAGATGGGAATGTTCAGCCTGCCTCCCCAGAAGCACTAAGTTTCTCTCAGCTTACGGAATGGCACCCTTAAGAGTCTTGGTGAAATCTGCCCACTTGCCGGAATCTAAACACCCAGAGTTATTGACACCCGAGGTGATCCTTCCGTGTTTTAGGAATGCAGTGAACAGCTATCTGTACCCTCCCATCGGAGCTCCTTTGGAATATTTCTAAGGCAGATTTATTCATTTTTGTGTTTTCTTTTTATTATATTTTAATATTTCAAACAACTTCTAAATTTAAATATATTTTGATCATCTTCTCCTCTCCCAATTCCTTCCAGATCTTCTTCCCCTTCCTACCCACCAAACTTTAATTTCTTTCTCAAAAAACCAAAACAACACACACATAAACTTAATACAAGAAGATCCCTCAAAAATGAAGAAAACAAACTAAAACAATACCCAAACAAAGAACAACTACAAAACAAACAAAAAACACACCAACTTTACCCAAATAAAAGAACACACACATACACACACACACACAAAAAAAAAAAAAAACCTGTGGAGACCATTATCTGTTGGCAACCACTCCTGAACATGAGGTCTGCCCCAGTGGTTGATAAATCCTGTGTCACTTGGTTGAAGAAAACAGATCTTCCCTCACCCAGCAGGGATAAGTGACAGTTCATTGTTATTTTTTTACCTTTGTGGCTATGCATTCATTCATTCATTCATTCATAGATTCATTCTTTTTTAAAAATATAACAAAATAAAATATAATATGATAAAACAAAAGCTATCTAATTTAAGTTAGACAGGACAAAACAACAAAAGGAAAAGAGACCAAGAGAAGGCACAAGAATCACAGACCCCCTTGCTCACACACTCAGAAATCCCTCAAACACCAACCTGGGTGCTGTGACGCTGAGGACCTGGTGCAGACCTGTTCGGGTTCTTTGTTTTTCGTACACTTTGTATACTTGAAAAGTTAGATTTATGAGGATTTCTAAGATGATTCTCATTAAAGATTCTAACATTAAATGGAGAACTGCTCCCAGAAATACGACTTTTGCCATGACTGAAAGAGAAATAACTGTCAGCGTTTACTGAGTGATTGAAGTAGTAAATGCCATCCCAAGCCTTGTTGTACTGGGAGGCTAGCATTAGAGAGTGCGGGCAGCTGGTTCCGAGCCTCAGGGATGCCGGGGATGGGACCAGAGATAAGAGTTTTGTAAGGCTGCACACACAGTCCGTGAGATCCCCTGGAACCATCAGGTCCAACCACGCATGTCCAAGGAGCAAATAACACCTCTAAATAACGGAAATGGCCCCAAACAGAAGCAGGGCCTTTCTCTTGATGTGTAAGGAGAACAGTGAGAAACTGTAAAGTCCTGTGCAAGTCCTAAAGCTAAGCATGCATTAAAAAAAAAAAGTATTGGGAGACAGAAGCTGCGTGATTTCTATGCATCCCATGTCTGTCCAGGCTGCATAGTGAGACCTACCCTCTCAAATAAAGCTAATAATAAAACTTCTTATTCAGATATATGCATTGTAAACTGACTTCCATAAAGTAATGTTTTATTCAGTGTATGATGTACTCTGACAATATTCAGCCCTTGTCACCCTCTCCTATGCCCTCATGTGAGCCCATCTCCTCTTCCCAATTAGCCCCCATTCTGCTTATGCACATATGCTGTCGCGTGCGCGCGCGCGCGTGTGTGTGTGTGTGTGTGTGTGTGCGCGCGCGCGCATTAACACTGTATGCTCCACACACAAAAGAAAATATGGCATTCATCTCTGCGGGGGTCTGGCTTGGTTTTCTCAGCACGATGATCTTTATTTCTGCCTCTTGCATATGCCACTACGTTGCTCTTCGTGGCTGAATAAAACTCCCCTGTATACACCTGAGCATAAGGAACGTGTCGTTTAGAATTCTGCTGTAGAGGAGGTCTTTAGTCTGATGGAAACAGTACTCGACGCCCCCGTCTTCTTGATGAACGTGCTGGTTGTGTTAGGAACTGGTCATGGTTAGGGAATGCTTGCCACCTCTCAGTGTTGAATCGAAAATGTTCTTACATTTGAAACTTGATAAAAGTAATAATGACTAATCTTGGGCTGTCAAGCACAAATTGTTAAAGGGCAATCATATAGGAAAGAATATTAAGAAATCTTCCTTTGGTATTTAAAAGTGGAAATACAACATTAAAATACAATTTCCTTATAACCACAAAGGGTGTGTGTGTGTGTGTGTTTCAACACAGGGTTTCTCTGTGTAGCACCGGCTGTCCTGAAACTCCCTCTGCAGACCAGGCTGACCTCAAACTCAGAGATCCTCCTGCCTCTGCTTCCTAGTGCAGATTAAAGGTCAGCACTTCCCAGCTCTAGCCTCTATTTCTGTTCTTGGACCACTCTGATTGCCCCAGGGATAGCAAAGCCACTGGAAGGCACTGGGGCTTAGGGAGCATCCTCACACTAGAATTGCTGCAGAGAATTGTTTGTTTCGGTCTTTTTCCTCTCCTGGAGATGAAGGTAACCAGGCCTGTGCTGGAAGGGGTGATGGGAGAGGGTTCGCTCCAGTGCACAGCTGAAAACGTGGAGACACTCGGCAGCAGACTGAGTAGCTACGAATATGGGCAGCTGGGAAGAAAGGAAGAATGGTGTCTACAGCTCTGGAGCCCGAAATACAGAGAATTCAGGCGAGTTGCACAAAACATTTGAATTTGTTGTTAATTTTCCCACAGGTTGTTCTTAGGTGGTTGCTGTTCATAAGGGGATACCACAGGTTACAGGGGCAGCGCTTGTGCCAAGGGAGCGTACATGGCTCTCATCCTTCTCACACTGGAAAGGGGGGTGTTACACAAAATACTGCAAATTGCCGAATTTCTAAGCTTTCCGTTGTTGTGGTAGTGCTGTGTGTGTGTGTGTGTGTGTGTGTGTGTGTGTGTGTGTGTATGTGTGTGTGTGTGTGCAAGACACCTGAACGAAGCAATGCTGACGAAATCTTTACATTTCTACCCTGCGTAGAGCATCCGCAGAGCAACACTGTCTGCAGCATGAGCACTGTTGATCTTAGCAGAATCCACTCAGACAACCCGGAACATGCTAGAAAGCCACTGGTAGAGCATGACCTAATTACTGAAGCTAAGGAAGGCTGGATGCATCAACTTCCTACTGCAATCCCTCTTCCCTGGCTGTTTCTAGTGTTTGTGTCCTGCCTAGCATATCTGTTGAAACCTACCACCAACCTGGGAGGAAAAGATCATCATTTAATTCTAGCCAAACCTAGATACAACTCAGCTATAGCCTACACATTGAAAAAACTTTATCGGGTAGCATGAGAAATCTAACCCCTTTAGGAAAAAAATTATTTCAAGAACTGCTCCCTGCAGAAGAAAATCGGCTCCCAAGCTGGCAATTCAGTAACAGCTCCTCAGCTGCATCCACCCAAGCGTGTGGATTCATCAATGGTGCTTCGTCTAGAGAAAGTCTTCGGGGCCCTTTGAATACATTTGTTTTCTTGTAAGAGATTTGAAATCTATCATTACATTTTCCCAATTCTTTTATGAGAGTCATCCAATACAGCTCTTATTTTATAATATCTATAGTTGGACAGCAAAAGATTTGCTGCACAGTGAACCAAACTCAGGTGACTGTAGTGTTTCCCAGCAGTGTAGATACCGAGCCACAGCATTTTAAAGACACACGTCTAGTGAAGGAAACAGATTCCGGTGACAACTGAAAGTCATCCACAGTGCTGAACCATGTTCTTCATGGTCTCAGCACTTCGTGGATTCAACAAATACCTTCTCCTCCTGTACAACCGAAATTAAATAAGAAGCGTAACCTAGTTTCTGTCTCAGCTAACCTGGTGCTACTCAGTAAAGTCTCTCTGAGCCACAAGAAGATATTTCTCATGGTCTACTTCTGGATATTATGTCATAACTATATACAAAACCAGGATAACTGACCCTAAGATTACAATTTAGATCTCAAGAGTACTTACTCATTATCTTTCTAAAAGACAAAGCGCACTAGTGAAGAAAATAGTTTACAAACAAAATTCCCGAAGGATGAACACAACTGCCCCCACTTAGTATCGGTGCAAGGAGGGCTGACACTCTTCAAGTCGGGACTCTGAAACAGGCCTCATAGGGAGAGCCTGTCTCTATGGATAAAACCTCCCATTGGCAATATAACATCTACATGCTTTTTAGTTGAGAGAATTTGAAACTCATGATTTGAAAAATGAAGGAAGTCACTAACGCCTGCTGCTGTTTTCTGTGTCGGAATCAAACCCCTTGGAGCTGAGTCTGCTTGGCTGTCGGTTACTTCAACAACGCTAAGTCTAATATGAGCAAAGTAAGTAATGTCATTGTGGATGGTTATGGCTGGTTCACGTGAAAAATGTCACACGTAGAGCTTTTGTCCTGCAACATAAATTTTGCAGTGTGTCCTGACAGAGGAAAGTCAGACTTGAGGGGGAAAACCCACGGTGGCAGATGAACACCCACATAACTCGGCACTTCTTCCTGCCTATAAGCACGAACAACTCGGGACGTTTTTCTGCATCCTATTTCACTTAGTTCCCTTAAGTTAGACTGTTGAGTACATTTTCCAAGCCTATATAATCCTCAATCCCGACTGAACTATTCTTGGCCATGGTTGGGATAATTGCAGAAGCTGTCTATTCCTGCTTATGAAGTAAAAGTCTGTATTTGAAAATAATTACTGATTCCTCAAATAACTAACTGGTCTTGTTGTTTTCATTACTGCCAAGGAGACAGACATCACGTGGTAGAATCATAGCGCACTGTCAGTTGTGGAGCTCACACGGCTTCTATAACTGAAAAGCTGAACGGACAACCAGCAGATAGCAAATTCAGACACTCCTTCTATCACTGATCTTGTAGTGTTATCAAAACCAAATAATATTGAAACTTGCAGGTGGTTTATAGTAAATGT